AGCAGGAACTGTGGACGTTGTAGAACATCCTAAGCCTGAGTACGATGAGAATTGCTGGAGTGATGTTGAGTTCTGCAGAAGGGTCAAAATGACTGGCTGGGTAAGTTTGATTATTTCCAAAAAAAAAAAAATCTGTCATATTGTTTTTCTTTATTTATTTTTGTTACTATGTTAGGAAACATTTGTCAAAATTACGAATAATTAATCTTTATTAAAAAATTTAACCGATCACTTTTAATAGAATTAGTGTATTATGAATTACTTTTTTCTTTATATATAAAATTGGAAACCAAGATTTTACTTATTAAGAGATTCCAGCATGTTGGTGATGTTTTTCTTTGTTAATACGAAAACCCAACATAAATGAGTTGGGTTCATGAAACATTCTATGCGTGTATTAATAAAAAGAATAAATAATATCCTGATGAATGAATATGATTGTATATGATATTGATATTGATATTTCCATTTTTTGTAGATGTACTTCGTTTCAAAGACCCTTGCAGAGCAAGAAGCATGGAAATTTGCAAAAGAGCATAACATAGACTTCGTTTCAGTGATTCCACCCCTTGTGGTTGGCCCCTTTCTTATGCCAACGTTGCCACCTAGCTTAATCACTGCTCTTTCACTCATCACAGGTACGTGCATTATACGTCCACAACCAAATCTTCTAGATAATCATCACAATTAATTAATATGAGATATAATTTAAAGGGAAAAAAAATTAATCACATTAATATATAATTGGCAGGAAATGAGTCACATTACCATATCATAAAGCAAGGCCAGTTCGTTCACCTAGATGACCTTTGTCTTGGTCATATATTCCTGTTCGAGAATCCAAAAGCTGAAGGAAGGTACATATGCTCCTCACACGAGGCAACCATTCATGACATTGCAAGACTGCTTAACAAAATATACCCACAGTACAATGTCCCTACAAAGTAAGACTTCCTAAACACTTCATTTCTTTGATTCCTAACTACATTGATATGCATGAATAATGGATAAATTAATGACTTAATTATACTTTCTCTCATTCATATTTTATGATTTTGTAAATTTTGTTATTCAATTTTTGAAATTGTACATTTTGACACTTATTTTCCAAATTTCATACACATTATTATTGATTAGTTGATTCTTCATTGGTCAACTGTTAATATAATATATTGATTACTATTGTGTTAACATAACACATTATATCATGTTAGTTGTTAATGTGAAATATCAACGGTTAACATATTAAGTCAATAATCAATATGTCATGTGACCATGTCAAACAATTAATTAATCAAATGATAAAATATGCTAAAAAGTTTTAAATTAGATAGCAAAATGTATGATTTCAAATGTCAAGTAACAAAATTTGTAAACCTAAATTAAAATTAATGGTGTGCTAATTATACATATTTGACGTTTAGGTTCAAGAATATTCCAGATGAATTGGAAATTATCAGATTTTCTTCAAAGAAGATCACAGACTTGGGCTTCAAATTTAAGTACAGCTTAGAGGATATGTTCACAGGGGCCGTTGAAACCTGCATAGAAAAAGGGCTTCTTACTAAACCTGCAGAAACTCCAGTTAGTGGCACCACGCAGAAATAAATTAATTAATATGCTTTCATATCTCTTTGTCCCTGATCGATGATGTCTTCGGATTTGTCTTTTCTTTTTCTGTTTAAGTTTTGGCTTTGGCTATGAGAATTTACGAATATAATGCCCGTCGTCTAAGTGGCCAAATATGTTAACTATTTTCCTAATAATTAGATGGGATTGATATTCTCCATTGTTGATGCTTGTTATGTGTATCATGGTAAAATATAAAGCTAGCTATAGCTGCATTTTTCATTGCCTGTTGATTATTTTTGTGTCACTTTTCACATGTGTCAAAAATTACTTTTAAATTGCGTCTTAATAATAATGTTTCTTTATTAAACTACTAATAATGGTTCTTTCAAGGTATATTTTTTATTTTACTTTTATTTCTTTACTTGGTCCTTTCGTTGTTCCTCTTGAGTCCTGGGTAAGAATAGTTATTGTGAAAATTTTCGTTTCATATTGACTGCTTTTTGTCAATAATTATTAGTAAAGTAGAGGCATGTAATTAGGAATGAAAATTTAAATTTATTATTAGAGATGTGTGAAATTAAAATTCATACACGAGAACACGTGATAATATGTAGTACGGACTACGGAGGTTGATAAGATTTCAAGAAAGGGAACTTGAGTAAAAAGACAGAGATAAAGAGTAAAGAAAAATAATTATTTTGCATTCACGAATAAAGAGTAAAGAAAAATATTGTCATCTAAATTTTACTCTTAAGAGGTAGAGTAAAGAAAAAACAATTATTTTGCATATATAACATATATAAAGACAATAATCTTACTTGATATACACAATTTTGTTTTTATAATAATTTTTAAACTATTCTTTCCTACTATTTTTCCATCACTATTGTTTATTTAATTTTATTTTTTATAAATTTCTAACTAATCAATAATTATCTATTTTATAGGAGATATTAATGAAAATATTTAATCATTAGATACCAATGGGAAATATTTAATAATTCTTTTTTATAATTTATAAATCTCTAACTAATCAATAATTACTTATATTTAATCGGGAGATACCAATGAAAATAATAGAGGCACATAATGACTCTCTCTCACTAGTCCTTATGAAGTCAATAAAATAAACAAAGAGGAAAAAAAACTCAAATCCTTATTTCTTACAAATGAATTTATAATCTTGACCATAAACAGACAACACACTCAACATTATTTCAGAAGATCTCACTTCAACTAGTTTTATAGGTAATATATATATATATATATATATATATAAAAGTTATAATTACACTTGTGTAACTTTTACTAAGTATTACACCGCTCAATAATTTTATATTAATTGTGAATTTTGTAAATTCAACCGTTAGATTGAAAGTTCATATTTCTTAGATCATGTATATCAAATTTTATTAAAATTGAACAATAACTTGAAGGTAATCAAAGTGTTCATATTTTAGTGTATTTTAAAATGAATATATTACGTCAATTTTGTTTTATAAAAATGAAGTATCAAATCATTTTGAATTAATATAAAATTTTGTATATATGATCTAAGAGATATGAACTTTCGATCTAACGATTAAATTTACAAAATTCACATTTAATATGAAGTTATTGAACGGTGTAATACTTAGTAAAAGTTATACCGGTGTAATTATAACCTGAGAATTAATTCTGATTTTATAAATTAATTTTATAGGTTCTAGAAAAGAATCAAAATACAAAGATTTCTCACAAATTTATATAAATACCTCATACTTCTTTTATAAACATTTTGTATTGATATATAACAAGACTTAATACAAAGTGTGTTTTGAAATAGGTCAATCAAGTGATTGATGTGTCAGTAAAAAAAATTGAGCTTGTTGGAGAGTATTTAGATCTTTGATACTCCTCCAACCTGTTAGCATATATATTTTTGTTGTTTTTCTTTCATATCTTTTAGTTTGAATATTTAGTCTTTTATTACAAAATAAAAATGTTATATTGAATTTTGATTTTGAGACTACAAGTAACATCTTCAAAATTAAAATAGATTTGTCACAAATTCACATGCATAAAATAATTCTACTTCTATTTTACTTATACATGATCCACTGAAGAAAAATTTGGCTAATGACTCTTATGGCTAACATTTTGATTCATCTAGTTAATAATATTAGCAATCACAAAGCTAGAAGCATTACAAGAAAATTGTCATATTAAAAAATGTAAGTATAGACTATAGTGACATATAAAATATATTATTAAATCTCATTCAAAATAGGTATATACCTACATATATTGTACATATAGTAACACTTTTTTTATGTCACTGTATAGAACATTTTTTGTAGTGAAATTACCACATGTATTATTGGTCATTATGTCTTTTTGTTGTGATACGTACCGATTTATTTATTTTACCATTACAATATATATAGATGTCTCGCTCCTTATTTGAGATTAGATGATTGAATAATAATTATCAATCAGAAGGATTTGTTATTTTTTATTCTATTTATGTTCACATGGATTTATTTTTTATTTCTGTTATTGTTGGTCAAATTTATAAGAATTTGGACCCAAATTTCTTGAATGATGTTGATTTTCAAGAACAAATTATAGATCTCTTGAATGGTGTTGATACTGATAAGGAAAATAAAGATGCAACAAATGATAATTAGGAGAATATTATGATTGTAACAAATTCCTTAAATTGTGACATTGTTAAGGAGTGTTTTTAATTTATTTCCCTGTAACGATTGTATATATTGCTTCAAAAATCAATACTAAAAATCAACGCTTCTACAATTTCTTTAAAATCTTCCACTAAATTCAATCCCAAATTTAATATTTGAGATAAGTGAAATAATTTGATTCATTCATAAATCTTGAATTCAATTATTTCGATAATCATTTATATAGAGAATTGGACATAAGCATGGCGTGAGAGACCTAAATGAAAGGCTTTCAGAAGGAGATATAGTGTGTGTGTTTGGTTTACGTTTGAAACTCACAAAATCATGTTTAATGAAAAAGATAAAAAAATGTTACTTTTCAATTTGATCCTTTGAAATATGTGTTTATTTCGTTTAACGAAATCTAACGATAAACTAAACATGCTTATGGTGTGCGGCCAAAATTCAACAGAACTACGTTAATTCAAGTAAAGGTTCGCTTATTGTTACTGATTTCTTTGCAGAATTAAATGTCTTCTGGGAGGAGTTAGAAAACTACATATCAATCATACAATGCACAAGTGACGCAGGAAAAAAATTCAAGATCATGTTTCTCATGGAATTAAATGATAATTATGTCATCATTTTGGCCTTGGGTACTTATAATAGACCTTCCTTTATTTGAATTGGGACTTTTTATAGGAGCGTACAAAAAAAATTCAAACCAATTCAGATCAATCTAATCTATAATAAAAAAATTTGATTCATTCGAAGAAAAAATTTGAATTGATTCATATTGTAAAATTGGTTTGGTTACCCAATTCATTTTTATAAATAGATCAATTTGATTCGATTCGATTTTTGAAAAAATAAATTTATATATGAGTAAAAAGTAAATAATTATAATGAATCGATCTAGTTTTAAAAAAATATATATTCATATTTAAAAAAAAATATAAACAATCAACTTTATTAAAAAAAATGGATCAAATCAATTCTATTTCATTCAGTTTGAATTTTTCAAAAATTCAATCCATAGTACTCCTACTTTTTTATGGAATTGCAATTAGATATGGAATATGACAGTTAAGTATTGGTTAATATTGTTGTTGGGAGAAAACTTTTTAAAAAAGGGCAAACTCCAAGAAGAAGAGAGAAGTATGAAGTTTTTTTTAGAAACACACAATCAACACATGTTATAGAAAGCATGATACTCAGCAGCTTTATCAAAAAAAAAAATCACAAAAACATGTTAGAGGAGTCGTTGAAACCTGCACAAGAAAAGAGTTTCTTACTAAACATGCAAAAATTCCCGTTCATGCCTACAAACAAAAATGCATGTGCTTTTACATTTGTGTTATTGGATATAAATATGTGTAAGATCCATTCTATTTTAAGAAGGGATTTATTTACTTTAATAATTCATGTTTTATATCAAATTTTAATGATTCAACTGTTAAATTTAACATTCTTAATGCTTAGATCAAATTTGCAAATTTTTAAAAAATTGAAAATTATTTAATACTTCATTTCATTAGTTTAAATTGACAGATAATCATAAAATCATTTTATACATTGATTTGAATTAATGAAACGAAGTATCAAATAATTTTTAAATCTTTAAAAAAATTTTGAGATTTGATCTATGCATTAAGAACTTTAAATTGAACGGTTGGATCGTTAAAATTTGATGTAAAACATGAGTTATTAAACAGAGTAAGTTTAGGTAAACTTACTCTTGGAGTAAAAGAATCCCTCATCATATATATATATATATATATATATAAGGTTCTCATCATATTTTCTAATCGAAAAAACATGAGTAAAACAAGAATGACACATGACAAAAGTATTTAATAAGGTATTTCCGATCTTAGCAAAATAGTTTGTTATTTTATTCCTTTCATGGTAAACATGATGAAAAAAAATAATCTGACAAATTTGAGAAAATTAAATGACTATAAAAGATGTCAATTATGTGATTAATTTTAGTTTTAATAAAATAAAACTTCTTTCTTACTTACATACTTATTGTTCTATAAATAAATTAAATTGACCAAATCATGGATTAAAATTGACACTAATGCCAAAGTGTACATTTATGTTATGTTTTTAGATCAGTTCACAAATAACCATTTAAACACAAATGCAGTGATATTCTTTTTTTGTAAATAAAGCAAACAAATTTAAAATCAGTTAAACTAGTCGATGCAAAATCTCATTTAAAACATCCCGATCGAGTGATAAAATGTGACTTAACTACTTGGCGTGATCCCAACCCCGTTCGAACAAATTTGTTACTGTAAGATGAAATTGATGGATTAGTTTGGGCAGATATAGTTTGTGACTTAGAAAATGAAAATACTAGGTATAGACAATTCACGAGTTTATGACATGAATTAAATTCTAATAAAATTCAAAATAGTTTATATACAGGGTTTATACTGTTAAAACATTTTCAAAGGTAATATAAGTCAATAACCAATTAAATCTTCAGCCAACAAGACTTGGTTACTTAGTTTGCTAGTTAGACAGCTATCTTCTGAGTAAATTATTCTGTAAATAATTAAAGGCCTGTTTTAGGTGGAACGAATTAATGAAAATGTAGAACAATACATGTTGAGCTATACATTGAAAGTTCCACTTGCAGCCCATCCATATTTGCTGATTCCTTTGACCTTACTTTTCATACAATATAATAATAATTATAATAATACACTTGAATCGTTGCCACCCCGCGCATTGCCATCAGACAGCGCAACAGTGACTACTGTTTCACCGTTCTTCCATGTTAAATCTGTTCCAAGCTTCCTGGAGACAATTAAACAAAAAAGGATATTTAAAATTTAATTTCTTCAGTAATCAGAGGCATGTTTCATATAGTTGAATCACGGTACAGTATGAAAGATAACATTTCAAAACCCGGCCGTAATTATAATTGGATATAATTAATATTTACATGGTTTTAATGCTGTAGGACCAACTCTGCCAGCCAAGGTGTTAGTTACAATACAAAACATTTTGCACATGGATGTGATTTTATATTTTTGGTAAAACATAAATGAAAATAATATGAATACTAACAAGTTTATATACTAAATAGATCCGGATGGAATTTCTTTTTATTTTTTCAAAAATGTTATTTCCAAACACAAGGATCTCATGGTAGCAAGTACCATGGAAAGATCCAAATCCCAATTATAAGCTTCACAGCTACATATATAAAGTTTTATCAAAAAGTTGCAAAGGAGCCGATTTAGAAGGGTGTATATAGTGATAATAGGTTGAAATTATAAATCAGTAGAATAAATTGTTAAGAAAAAAGAACAAATGAAGAACAAACCTTTAGAAGATCAAAAACCTTCTCGCAAATGTACTTTTGTTGAATGCTTGCCCCCCGCTGCTGCAGCTTGTCAGGATGCACAAAAAGAGTAGCTTTACGATAAGCTTTCTTTACAGCAGTAGAGGTTACGGTATCTGTCAAAGGAATCGGTTGCCAACCACTATCGGGGCCAAGGATCTGCAGAACACAGATTTGAAACCAAAAAATTCCTAAGAATGGCTCTATCGAGCAAAGCCAAGCCAATGATAAACTAGAAGGCATGGTACTAAAAGAGAGCTTTTTGCCCCCACATTTGTTCATTTGAGTCTTAAAATAACGGAGCTTTTGAAAATGATATATTTGCATGTCTTGATTTTCCCTAGCTCAGTGATTAGGTTCAATAGAGTAAGGAGAAAAAAAAAAAAAAGACCCATTACAAGTTCATATCTATCTGTAAAGGCGTAACAATCTCAACATATGCACTGAGCTTAAACATATTTAGGATGTTTACACATACATATTGTAATGTTGAAAGCAATGCCCTCAAGTTTCCTGTCTTCCCACTTGACCACCTTTTAACATCAGCATCGAGTGCTTCTGCTACCCTCTGCAGAAAATTAGATTTGTCAGACAAAATGTGAAACATGTGAATTGCAAAATGTGAAACATATGAATTGCAAAATTTGATAGAAAATTACATTTCTCTCCTCTTGCTCCTTCAGCACAAGCCGGTCACGCATATTCTTTTCTGCAAGAGCCTTTGCCTGCAAGGACCAAAACAGAGAATGAACTAACCATTTGTCATATTAAAAATTCTGTACAAAAAATATTGGCAAAACCAGGGACCATACCACACGTTCCCCTATTCTCTGATGTCTCTCAAACCTAGCCTTACATCTCTGAGCAGAATCGCCATCAGCTCCATCAAATACATCACTAGAGTCACGAACTTCAGGAAAACGCAATTTGTACAAAATCAATAAATTTAAACAGAAAAAATACTGTAATAGAGAATCTATGAAACAAGAAAAGATAGCATAAGCCATCAGCTATAACAGAAAATATTAACATCACATACCACCATAGCTGAAAGATTTTGAATGGAAATTTTGCTTTGTTACATTATCACGGGAAACCCCAAAGCCTGCAACAGATTTGTCAGATTTATTTCTTGCATCGGAGGCAGCTTTCTCAGAGAGTGCCCTTTCTAGTGCCCGTGCCCGTGCCTCTGCAGTTGCTCTCTCCACAGCAGCACGTTCAGCTTTAAGTTTTGCTTCCATAGCAGCCTTCTCTGCCGGTGTCTTCTCATTTGCCTGACTAGTGGTTTTACCTAGCCTTTCCCGTCCATCAGAAATGTTTTTCTGACGTGCTTCTGCTGCAGCTCTCTCTAGAGCTGCCCTTTCTCTGGCACCAGCAAATGCCCTTTCACGTGCTTCACGAATTGCTCTTTCTACAGCTAACTTCTCCTTTTCTCTTTCTCTTTGCCTCGCTTTTGCTTCATCAAGTTTTTTGAGGTGTTCCTTTTCCAGCTCTTCCTTATGCAAGTTATCATTTGCTTCCTTCTCTTCCATTGTTACAGATGCTTGATTACTTTCCCTTAGATTGCTGTGACTTGATTCAACCTCCTCTTCTTTGAAATGACTTGATTTCCAATCAGATGTACTAGGAATCTGAGATTCATCTATATTGTGTTCATTGTCAAACAGTTTTTCCTCGTTAGACGAGTTAGATCGATTCTCACCTACTGCTTCATTTGATGCAACCCCAGTCTCTTTTGCATCCTTGCAGATTTCTACAGACTCAGGAGTTGTGTCTTCAACGAGCATTTCCAGATTGCAGTCATTTTCTGCCTTTTCCCGGCACTGATCTTCATTTTGACTATCCTTGATGTCAGTATCACCAATATTTGTGGCAGCACCTTCAGAGGTCTCTGTTTCAAAATTACTTTGCATTTGATTGACTGCTTCATTGAGTTCAAGGGCAATTTGAATGAAGGAAGAAGTCTCACCTGCATGTTTATCATGGAAATCATTTGTCTCCTGAAGAACGGGGTCTGTTTCTTCATATCTCTCTTGATGTTGAAATGAAGCACTACTTCCTACCATTACATCATCCAGCACATAACATGAATGAACCTCTGGATTCACTTCCAGAGTTACCTCATTTTCAATAATTGTATCAGCTACCTGAGTTATGTTCAACTTCTCAGTTTCATCTGACTCATAGCCTGAACTGGTTTCTGTGGTCTTGCCAGTTTCCTCTGCTTTTACCTCCTCACTACTAGCAGAAGATTGAGTCACTCTAATTGCTTCTACTGGCTCCTTGTTACCTATCCTTTCCCTCACATTTTCGTCCATCAGTTGAGTGGCTCCTTCGAATTCATTCTCACTTTCTTGGGCATCTAGAACCATACCAATTCCATCCAATTTACTTTCCTCAGTATTTCTTTCATAAATTTCTTCCTCATTATGAATACGGTCCGCAACATCCGCCAGCATTTCCTGAACATTGATATTGCTAAAAGTATTATCAGTGGCTTCTCTTTGACAGGAATGTTCAGTCTCTTGATTGATATCCTGAAAACCAGATTCATTCTTTTTCTTTCTATCATCTATGCACCCCAGGTTCTCTGTGTCTTTATCCTTACTTAACAAATCTGGGCCATGTTGACTGCTCATATTATCATTGTTAATGCGCTCCAGAATCTCTGCCAATTCACATTCTTCCAGCTCACTGGATGCTGCAACTATATCAACACTTCCTTTTTGCTCTTGAGTAATGTTCTTCTCAACCTCTCCCAGTTCCTGAACAGCTCTCAAATTTGTTTTGCATTCTTCCAGCTCAAATGACCCTTCAAATTTGTTACTGTCTTCTTCTGGCTTACAGGCCACTTTTTCCCCATTTACTGTTGTTGACCCTTGCCCACCAAGGTTTCTTTCATAGTCTTCTGGTTCATGAAAAGGTGTAACCTTATTCTCAACTTCCCCATTTTCATTAAACTTCAAACTCTTGTCCAATGTTCCATTTTCAAGTGACTCCTGAATCAATTTTGTTTCATCTACTACTTCTTGACACCTATGTGTAGTTTCCTCGATAGGTTCTTCACATGCACTTGATTCAATATCCATGCGGACTTTGTCTTCATTATTCTCCGGCCTCCAATATTCCTTAACCATTTCAATTGTATGATCGGATTCTTCTGGTTTATCAGAGGCATTCATATCTGTGTTTTTAATGTACAGCTGTTTCTTATTATTTTCTGCCTCTCTAAGCTCAAGAATTTTTCCTTTATGATATGCTTCTTTCTGTTCAAACTCTTTCTTATGTTTCGCTTGAGTTGATTTCAATTTCTTCTGTGCTTCTCGTACAGCTTCTTTAGCAACAGATGTTTCACTTGCCCCCAAATCTGACCTCACTTGCTCTGTTCTCATCACCGACTTCACTTCCTCATAAGAAGCATTTGGCAAACCATCCATCTCTCCAAATGTTTGCTTTGCATTAATCTCTTCAATTTTCATTGTTTTATATGTGACTTTAGTCTCTTTTTTCCCTTCAGCTTTCAATTCAATATTAGACTTACGTTTGACACGATCTGGAAAACCTTCTTTCTTTCTTCTCATCAATTCTTCTGCAACCTTCATTCTTACTTGAGCCTCTTCTATTGCCTTTCTTAAAGCAGCTACAGAAGCAGCTACCTCTGAATTTGAGTCTACCATGTCATCAGAGTATGATGGCGAATCAGCACCAGAAACACCTTTAGATGCCTGGCATTTGGTAGGCATTGGTTTCATAGCATCATGATGATTATTTAAGTTACCTGTTGTAGTCTCTGATAGAGGAACTTTGACGTGACATGCTCCATCACTTCCATTGCTAATCTCACATTCATCAAAAAACAGGTCAATAGAATCAGATCTACGTTTAACTTTCTCTCTGTTGTTGGAAGACTGGTCCTTAGAATTATCAGGTGAAGCACCAGCGAATGATTTAGAAGAATTTACACTTTCTTCTATCCCCTCGTTGCCATGACTACCAGAATAAGTATCTTGTGCCTCTGGTATAGACTTATTTTTTCTGTTCATCTTCACTGGATTGACTTCTTCAATTAATTGAGTGTAAGCAGGGATAGCACGGAGTTGAGCAATATGTGTCGTCCCATTTGTTCCATCTTCATTTCCTTGGTTAACTTTATGGTATGACATATTGATCCTTTTGGCATGGTTGGATGACCATGATGCCACCGGAACTTCCTTTGAACAATTAGTATGATCTTGTCGGCAAGATTGATTCTCTCCTTTGACCTTGCTCCTACAGAATAATAATAAAGGTCAGGAAAACCATTTATGTTAACATCAGAAGCTTATGAGAACTTGGTTAGATATCGATGCTACAAAGATTTGCACAATATAGCAATTTCTCCAAAGATCTTTGTCATTTGTTAAGATTGAACAATAAAATAGGAAATTGATTAGTGTATTGATATATTCTTTCAAAATGGAGTATAGATACAAGAGTGAAATCTGAAAAACAATGATGGAATGGAGCTAAGCTCCTTAAAATGATGAAAAACGAAATGAGTGTTAAAGATATGAAAATTCGTAAAGCTAAAAATTAACGACTAGGGATTCTTTTGTTTTATTGTCCTTCCTTATTTCCTTAACTGTAACTCAATACTTGATTATAAATGAAGTTGAATTTGCGTGGATCATTTCACACAATTCCTGCAATTCCTATATGGTATCAATGTTTTAAGGTCTTTCCCTTTTTTTCGCGTCTGTGCCCGCGTCTTCTCACAGGTAAACAGTACCCATCACACTGCAGACCTCCTCTGGCTACCATTGAGTCTCTGTTTCTCCGACATGACCACACAGTCAGAAGCACCTCCCACCGACAACCACCATGCCGCCTGACCCGTCGCCTGCTGACACCACACGTGCTGCCATGCGCTACCTTTCTCCTGCGTGTGAGACACTATTCCTGCAATTCCTATAGACAGAAAATAGGAAAACCCCAAAAATAACCTTGAGATTAAGAGAGACAGCCCTCAGCTCCCCCTAACACCCACCAGTGAACTCTTGCCTCCCCTGATTCTTTTTCCGGCACGTCAATCTCACGCACCTGCACAAAAACGGTGTGGGACACAAATTCCTGCAATTCCTATAGACAGAAAATAGGAAAAGCCTAAAATAACCTTGAGAGTGAGAGAGATACCCCTCAGCTCACCCTAGCACCCACCACTCTGGTGAATTCTTGCCTCCCTTCATTCTGTTATTTCTCCCTCACCCCTTATATTCCTCCCTTCTCACACTCCCCTCCCCTTTCCATGATTTCCGCAGCTTCTTCCCTCTCTACTTACTTGCCATCTGTACATTCAGTCACAACTTACAATTTTGTCTTTCCCTTTTCCAAATTCCACCTAAGCTGCCATAGTCAAGCCCACATTCCTTTTGCGCCAATCTTCCTCTACCACTCTCCCTTCAATATTTTCCTTTCCTTTTCCCCTATATAGTTGCAAAAGGCCCCTTCTTGGGAGTTTTTGCTTAATGCTGCATAAATGCATAGCATTTTCCCACAATACCGGCATAAATTTCGCAGTTTCACGTATAACGTAAACAAAACCCTATTGGTAGGACAAGAATTGCCATAAAATAGATCATAAATTTTGCGGTTTCACGTAAAACCCTATTGGTAGGACAAGAATTTTCATGAAGTAGAGCATAAATTTCGCGGTTTCAAGTATAACGTGAATAAAACCTTATTGGTAGGACAAGAATTGTCATAAAGTAGGTCTCGTTCGCAACCAAAAACTCATTCGTATCTTTGGCTGATTGACTGAAATTCTTACAGCCAACTTTGCGCATGGAATTAGTGTATGTTAAGGTTACTTAAGATTTAAGGCATGAGCTCCAACAACTTAAAAAAAAAAGGAACATTTGAAACAAAGAAATACATACAGTACAACCGAAGTTGTTTCCATGAAGAAGACATTGACATTCACATTTCAAGTAATTGTATTTCAGCAGCTATGCAGATCCCGGGTCCAACTCAAACTTTAAAATTATAATAAAACGTTATTGTATTTGAAACCTTAACCTACAAGCTCTCCTCAACTGGTGAAGTAGAACGAAAGGCACGTCGAAGGGATCAAGAAGTTCCGCGGCGAAACAGTAGATTCTTATTGATTCGTTTTATCTTTTTTAAAGTGGCAAAAAAGGTAAGGCGTGAACATCGCTGTCCATTTACTCGCTCAAGAACACAGCACAAATAAAAATAGAAAAGAAAACGCAGTCTCTCTTCTCACACAGAAGGAACTCACATGACCGACAAAGTAGTCAAAAGAGAAAGGTCACAGAAACCAAAGACAAGTTCAGAGAAAAAACAAACATTCTCGAATCGAATCTGGATTTCAAGTTTTCAACCCAAACACCAACACGCACGCACATTCATTATTCCAAGTCACGTTCAGTTAAAACCCTAAGACAAATAAATAATTTGCAAGAAAACTCACCGTGCTGTGAAGCTATCTTTCTCTTTAGGCTCAGCGATTAGCTCCTCAAAAGGCACTGCAGCGTCGAGATTTCCGAACCCGCCGAAGACTTTGGCGTAATCGAGCTTCGAGCGGCGAACCTCGTCGTTCCTTCTCCTCTCGTCCGGAATTTCGAGAATCGGAATCGAGGAGCCGAGCGAAGCTCCGGCGGCGCCGAAAATCTCGCGGTAGTCGTCGAAATGAGAGGAGAGGCCCGGAGCGCGGAGCTTGATCGGAGCGGCGAAAACGCCGTCGTACGCGGATCTTCCGGAGACGCCGTAGCCGTTGGAGAGCTTCTTCGTAAGAGTCGCGGCGGCAGCGGTGGCGGCTCCGAACTCCATGGCGGCGACGATGACGACAACGACAGCGACGGCGAAGTTCCTTCCCCTCCTCCTTGCTTGCGTTTGTTTCTCTCTGACTCTGCAAAACTTGTTCAGCGAGAGTCAGAGACGCGGAGAAGGAGCAAAATGAAAATGTGAGACAGTGAGACAGAAAAGGTGTGAAATAAAGGGTGAAAGGGTCTTTTCCAGCGGAATGAATGAGAGGGAAAAAAATAAAGAAAACTGTGGTCTAAGTCTAACTGTCTATAAACAAAATCAGAGTGTGTGCATGCACCTGCAACCGGCGGTTTCGGTCTCTAGCACCAGCTGCTAACTGTGGTGTGATCACGGTAACCGGAAGAGCCCGTAAATGTTGAAAAAAATAACCAGGCTCGTCTAATGTCTACTATGTTGTCGTTTTGCTTAGAAATAGTTTTGAGACCAATCAGCGCTTGAGCTTGAGCAGTAGCAATGTAACGTCATTAAGGGGTAGTTTGGGTATATCAAATTGAAGAGGGATTTTATACTTCTTTTTTTAGTGATATTTTATACCTTGGTTTCTTGCGCTGTTTGCTGCTTACAGCTGTCGCTCCTTAGTCATTAGTTGTTGCCAATGTATACTAGATTACTAACACGGACAATATATGTTGCTGCTTTTACTTCTTTCTTTTTTTTCTACAATTTTTTAAGTAATCCAATTTTAATTTTTTACTTAGGTAGTGTTTGCTTCTGTCCTCGCGTTTTTGCGAAGAAAAGAGATAAAAGTCACATAAGATTTGAGAAAATCTGATAATACCTCTGTCATGTGCATGCAGAGACTGTGCCATTTTTATGCATGAGGGAAGGTAGGAATGAAGCATAATCGATTATGCATGGCACATAATCGATTATGGTGGCATATTTTCGCTTTCAGAGGAAATCAGAACGGGTCGTTCCAACACTGAATTTTATGAGCAATATGCGAACTCAAAACAGGCCGTTCCACGCATAGTTGTTGTGGGTTAATTTGTAATCTAGAACGGGTCGTTCTAGTATGAGAACGGCCGTTCTGGATATAAAATAATGTTAAAAAATATAATTATCATAATATATTTTGTTATTATTCTTTATTATTATAAATATTATTATTATTATCATTATTATTAATATTATTATTATTTATGATAATTAGTATCATTATTATTTATTATGATTTTTATTAATTTTATAATTTTTTAATAAATTATACCTATTAATATAATTTTATTGTAATTATTATTATTTACAATAAATAATATTATACTCATTTTTAATACAAGGGTAAAAGTGTAAATTACATATTCATCTATTAAATTTTTAATTTTTATCTATCATTAAATTTAAAGCAAATATTTAAATTAAATTAGTTTTAAATTAAGATTTTATATTTATTTTTTTAGTTAAAATTTTTATATTTATCTTTTAATTATAATAATTATAAACTTTTTTTAACCTAAGGGCAAAATAGTAATCTTACAAAATTATTAATTAAAAATTTTATTTTTATTTATCACATCAATCAATTCACTCACAAACTTTTTCTACACTTTCTACTCACTTTCCCTTAATCCAAACAACCTCACTTTCCACTCACTTTTCCTTCAAATCCCTCATTTTTCACTCCTCCTTTTCTATCCTTAAATCCAAACAAAGTATTATCGTAAATATTTTCTAAGGAATGTATATAATGACACTCTCTCTATAGTCCAAAATCTTTGTTAATAATTACAATTTTTATTTAGATATGAGATTTAAAAAATTATAATTTTTAATGAATTTTACTTTATAAAAAGAATATTAAAAAAGAATGCAATAAAGAGTGGTGTTAATATTTTTTTAAGTGACGTGGATTCTTTGTTATCGTAACATTTTCTTATAAGGACAAACTCGAATATAATATCAAAAGTATATGATAGCTATCTTTGGATTTGTTATTCACTAAAAAAATTAAAATTATACTTATATAATGTGTTGATATTTAATTAAAATTATTTATTATCAAATCATCGATGTAAAATTCAATTTTTAATGAAAAATACTAGTAACATTATATTTGTTACACTATTTTAAACATGTTTTTTGAATTAGTTGAAATTTATAGATTCTACACCCAATTTAAAAACTCTTTTCTAATTTTATGGTGTTCAATAAATATTAATTAATAAGAGATAGTGTATTAAAAGAAGTGTTATTAATACTACTTATTATTAATTATTATAAAAGTCAAAAAATTTATTATACATATAAATTTGTAATTAAACAATAATGTAAAAATATTTACATTTACTTGTATGTAGTCCTTACTCATGTATTTTCCAATGTTAAATGCATTACTTTATTTAACTTTTAAAACTTAATAATCATGCCTTATTAATGTAAAAACTATTAACCAATAAAAAAACTTTGGTTGTATAATTTTAAAAGTAGTTATTGAAAAACAATAAATTTATTATATGTGATAATTTGTAATTAAAAGTGCATATTATACTTTCATTTTCATTATAGAATATTGTTTTTATTTCTTTTATTGAAATAAAAGTTTGTTTTTCTTTTAACGAAATTCCCACGGCGGGATTGGTTTTTGGACCCGTTTGTTTATAATTTTTTTAAAATAAGTAAACTTTTTTATATTTCAGTGTATTTTTTTGGACTATTTATTTTAAAAATAAATATTTTATGTTTTTTAAGAACTAAATTCTATCTATTTCTTGAAAATCAATTTTTTAAGAAGCGTTTTTATAATCGTTTTTTACGAGTCTCTAATTTTTAAAATAAAAAAAATAAAGTAAGTAGTTACTTAAAGAGTGAGTAGTTAATTATAAAGAACAAATAATTTAAGACTAAAAAACCATTAAAAATAAAGAGAATTGTTAAGATTCTTGAATAAATTATTAAAAAAAAATATAATGATTCTTATAAAATAGAAATAAACGTTTATAAAAGAAATATTTATTGTATATAATAGTATATATTATATATAAGATTGAGTTGCTTAAGAAAAATATTTGCAATTCTCATGGCATTATCGAAGGAAAAGCTATGAGAAGATAAGATTGCCATTCAGCTAATTCGCTTTCACGAAAAAAAATATATGGATCTAATTATGATCACCTTTTCTACCTTTAACTAGCATCATTATTAAATCTCTTTTATTCTTTCACTTCTTTTTAAAAAAAAAACTATATAATTTTTTTTTATTACACCAACTAAAGAAACTTTTTTTTTTTTTTTGCACCACTAAAGAAACTTGTTAAGAATGGTATTTTCATGCAATACAGTCATCAGACCATATAATCATGTTTAATACTGAAACCGCAATTGCTTCTGACAATTCATTACATGCGTTTCGAAATAGAACACGAAATAATTTTTTCTTAATGTCTTATATATTTTTTTTATATAGACTTAAAGTGAAAATAAAGTAGAGTGATTCTATTAAGAATATTTAAAAATGTTAGTAATTGACTCTCACTTCACATTGTGATTTACCTTAATCTAATTTTTTTATATTAAAAAAATTGTAACACTACAACAATGTTGGAATTGTGTAGTGATATTTTTTTTATAATTTTTATAATTATTTTATAAAAAATTAAACATATTTAATATATAATATCATGATGATTATATGGAAAAAAAATATTTATCTTGTATATATTTATGATTTTAAAAAAATTAATTACTATTTTCAGCTATAAATGCTCTGTATCACTATATGTATCAATATATAATCATAGTAATAAAAGAAAGTATTAGTTAATAATGATTTTAGTTCTTAAATATTTTTTAAAATTTTGATTTTCCTCTCTGTATTTTTTAAATATAAAAACTTTATTCCTTAAAGCTGACAACTTTTCTCGACCAAAGTTTAGGCATTTCAAAAATATAATAATTAAAATTAATTTTCTAAAAATAAGAGATAAAACTGAAAATTTTTAAAATTTACGAACTAGAAATGTCATTAATTCCTTTTGAAAACACTCTAACAACATGTTGCTTTAATACAATTTATTAATGAGTTGGAAACTTGGGCACAATGAAGTGTAGACATTTATAGATAATTTGACTCGACCTTACAATTTGTTGTTACAATATTCGAGCTCCTCTCTTCACGCTATAACATATATATCTTGTTAAAATGTTTATTTATTTATTTTATATTTTCTTGATATGTCATGAGGATAATATGATGTTCTACCAATTTGTTTGTTGGTTCGTCAAACATCATGATATAGATATTGTGATTTTGGCTAAAATTAATGCCACCTTTAATCTATCCATTTTTTCCTCCATTTTGTTAATGTTTTCTTTTATTAAAAATGAATAAAAATATATAATTAACACTTTAATTTGCTAGCAACCAACGCATATTTGAAGGAAGGGATTTAAAAGTTTGAACTTTTCATAAATGGAGCCTCCCAATTTCACTAAACAATAGATGCAATTGCTCTCTTCAGCAAAGTAAGGTTAAGTAAGATTGTACTAACAAAATTTTCTTAATAATCTTCTGTACTAGATATCAAATTTTCCATATCGCAATTGTATAGTGTTTTTTTTTAAGGAGATTTTATAAAAAGTAATATAAAAAATAACAAATTATATGCTTACATAAATCGTGCACTCGTACATAAGTAATTAGGAATGAAACACTCTAATCTCTAATGATAAAATCTTGAATATATATATTAATATTGGAAATTGAATCATACTCAGAAGAAGAAAAAAAAAAAAAAAAAAAAAAAAAAAAAAAAAAAAAAAAAAAAAAAAAAAAAAAAAAAAAAACACCACCACTTTTAACTAGGTTAACCTAATCTAAATTGAGGTGGAAATAAAATATTAAAAAATCTAAAAATATTGTTCAAAATCTTGTGCTTCAATATAAGAGTGAACAATGTCTAACTCAACTTGATGATTCGACCTATCTTATCTTAATTTAACTTGCAGATTATTGATTCATCAAAGTTTAAAGATGAGTTAGAGTTTAAAAAATTGGTGTGGTCAAAATTTAGAAATGGATAAGAGTCAAGTATAACTTGACCTAACATTTTTTTTATGTCATCTTAAAGTATTTCATTTTTCTTTCTATATTTCACTATCTTATTAGCTTCTTTTATTTATATGTTTATATTATTGTTAAAAGTAGTTTTTTCAAGAGATTATAAGTAATAATAACTTAATTTAT